TCGGATTAATTGGGAAATGGAATATCATGTGGCATTTCAAGTCGTTCTCGTCCCACATTTAAACTACCTCCCCTTATTTCCTGCAAGAAAACCTTCACTGGGCCATCTCTTCTCTCAATGAATCAAAATCTTGCTGAAAAATTTCTTCCTATAGTGCTCTCTCCTCGTTCTCCATTTAGTGAGTCCTTAATCTAGTGTTGTGGATGTGCGGGGGAATTGAGCTTTGGTAGAGCAACCTATGTTTTAAAATCCTGTAAAAAAAAACTCAAAAAACATATGTACAATGAATGTACAAGTATATACCTATATGATTTGAACCAGGTTAGATGCCTTTCTTTATTTAACATCCTATAAGAGTCGAGGGTTAGAACAAATATCATTTAGAATTGATTCGTATCTTAATCGAGTCAACCCTAATGGATAAGATCTAGCTTTTTTATGGATATAGGTAAGGCTTGTTTAATCCTCGAAGTCTTTTCAAGTTTCGAACCGTGTAAATTACCGATGGGGTAATTCAGCCTCTTAACCTTATGCACAAGGAGGTAAGGGAAGGTTATTCCACCATTTTCTATGCATAGGATGAGTTCCAGTCCAAACGAGAGTCCGAAAGAGCATCGGTAGACTTTCTTCATACTTGCCTTCGAATCTCTCTATTTAGATGCTAGCAGGGTTTTAGCTCGAGTCTATAGATTTTGTAGGTTTTTTCGTGGTGTGTGCAATAATTCAAGATAAGGATCTAACTCAGTTCAAGATTAAATATGTACGTGATGCAAGAAAAATAAATTGCATAAAATAAAAAAAATTAAAATATATACAAGAAAAAAAAACTCAAAATTTAATAACAAAAAAAAATTACTTGAAAAATAATTGGCAAAAATAAACACAGAAGATAGACTAAAATGGACTAAACCTATGGCCTAACTCTAATTCCCCGATGGAGTCGCCATTCGTCGCTACTCGACTTCGGACGGACTCCCAAAAAGAGTAATCGCTATTTACAAAGTTTGATCATATGTTCGGAGTCGCCACCTAGTATTAAGGAACTTGGAACCTATAAATTACACTAGTCTAGAGATTCTATGGTAAGCAATTGGTTACACTTTTGAAAATATATTTATTCACCCAAAAGTGCCCTTTTCGAAAAAAGGTACCATGTCTAGTTTAGTTCTAAAATGTTTCATTTATGTCAAATTATTTTTTGATTTGAAACTCCAATTTTTAAAGCAACAAAATAATAATAATAATAATAATAATAATATAAAAAAATAAAAAAAATTAGTTTTGAGCATGGCATCGTATTGAAGCGATCGTCGATCCCCTTCATCGAGCGACACGTCGGTTCAAACATCAAATCCACTAAAAGCCTTGACACAATAGGCGTGTCGGAGGACATGCTAATTAAAAGGTAATTCTTTGGTGACGTCGGTCCCTATCAAATAGGAGACTTCGTCGAAAATTTTGTAATTTTTTTTATATATTTATTTATTTATTTTTGTGTGGCGTTAGACCTTATCGGGTACGAGACTTCGCCAAAATTTTAGATTTTTTTCATATTTTTTTATTATCTAATAACATAAAAAAAATATAAATTCTAAATTATTACATGCAAATATGATGAGAAATAGAATAATCAATTTTTTTAAAAAAAATTAAATAAAAGAAAGGGATAAATGAACAAAGTCAACACCTTTTAATTGAAAAAAAAATTAAATAAAAGAAATGGTACATTGGTACCTTTATTTTCCTCGGGAGAGGTCGGACCCGACCTCTCCCGTTTTTGTTTTATTTTTTTTTCTTTTTGGGAGAAGGCTGGACCCGACCTCTCTCGTTTTTATTTCATTTTTTTCTTTTTGGGAGAAGGCTGGAATGATTTCAGCCTTCTCTTTTTTTATTTTTACTCACCCACTCAAAGGAGCACGGGTTGGACTAAATTTAGTCCAGATCCTCCCTTTAATTAAGTCCGACCGGGCTTCACATAAACAAGCCCATTTTCTCACTTTTTAGATCATTACCGTGTTCGATCCTCTCTCTCTCTCTCTCTCCCGTTCTCATGATGCGATTCCTCTCTCTCTTTTTTTTCTTCTCCCTCTCTACCCGCATTCCATCGATGAGCCGAATCCCCCCATTTTTCTTTTTCCTTCCTTTTTGTTTTTCAATTAGGGCTACTTCGGTTCAGCCATCTCTCTCTCTCTCTCTCTCTATCTCATCTTGCTCCAATTCAAAAAATAAAAAATAAAAAATTGAACCTAAGAATTGATAGAAAAATTAGGATAGGAGTCACGTTAGGATTACTCGAATCGAAATCAATGGAGTGAAGAGTTATTTTCAAGACCTTGTGTTGTTGTTGTTGTTCATTTTGGAGAAGGGAGCAGAGCAGGCGTCAAAGGAATGGAATATAATTCTTTTTGGACCTTGTTGTCGTTATCGATTTTGCGAGGAATTGAAAGACTTTGATTTGATGATTGAGTTGTTGTTGTTAGGTCCGGTGTTTATGAATGTCTTGTAACATGCGTGGGACCTGGAAAATGAGGAGGGTGAATGATTGTAACCGAACCTAGAAAATCCAAAAACGATCGAGTGACTAGACTAATGATAGATGAACTGGCACCCAAAAACTTGAAGGCTGCGAAGAACATGAAAAACACTCCTAGAAATTCCTAGAAAAGTAACAACTGGAATTTCAAAACAATATTCTTTTTTTTTCTCGATTTTTACTCTCACTTAAACCCGGAATTTCTTCTTCCTTTTTTACCCGCATTTTCACTCTAAGCGAAGAACAAACTTGCCTAGAATTTACGAGCCTAAAGAACATCGCCCTTAAAAAAAAAAAAGTTGAAGAATACAACCGCCCCAAAACCCGAAAATTTTCGTACCCCTCCTCCTTTTTTTTTTTTCCTTTCTTTTTTCTCGAGATGCTACCTTTTTTATAGCTACCGACGGTTTGAGTTTCATCTCAAATCCAACACTTTCAAATTTGAGTTTCATCTTAAATCAAATATTTTAAAAGTCAAATTTTTTAGTTATCCAATTTTCTCATTATCGAAATGTGATCCTAATTAGCTAAACAATTGGGATAAATTAAAATTTGAAAAAAAAATCAAAAAGAGGATTGGGATAGATTTTAATCTGTTTCCCTCCTTTTATTTTTTTAATTTATTTTTTTGGTTTTGTATATTTTTTATTTGTTTTTTTTTAAATAATAATAATAAAAAAAGAAAATGTTTTTTTTTTTTTTTTGGTTATGACAGAGTGTAGAAAGTTGTTTAGGAGATTCTATCTTCCATGGCTCATCCAAGCGGGTTTTTATAGCTATTTGCAATAGCCACTTGTAAATAAGTATCAATAAGTAACATAGCGGTTGATGAAAGAAGAAAGCAGTTGCTCATGAACAGAGAAAAGAGCCAAAAAGCCTTGGTTGAATTGAAAGAAATAGACTTGCAATGAGGGTTCAATCAAAGATGCAAATTTTTATAGTTGTAAGGCGAAGATTTAACAGAGGCACTTAGAAAAAGGGATTTGAGTCGGGTACAAGTTGACCCAACAACAAATTATTAAAAAGAGAAAGGGAGGAACAAACAATGAAACAACTGGCATAATGGTTATTTCCCTAACTCCCATGCATATGTATATATATATATATAAAGGAAAAGAGACAAAGACAATAGGTCAATTGCATAACAGAATAAAAACAGAGAAAAACTCTATACAAAATAGAGAAAAAAAAGTTATCTTGGCATTTGAATTGTGGAATTCAACATTATCCATCTATAATAGTTTTTTCATATTGAAATTTATATGTTCTTGGTAAAAAATATTATGAATTTTATAAATATTAATATGCAAAAACAAATTTAATTAAACAAGCATTTAAGACCACTAAACCAACCTATTATTTTGGTTCAAAATAGCTAGAAATATTTATTCGATTATATTGTCATGAATTTTAAAATTAATACACACAAAAAAATAAAACCAAAATTTTGACAAGTGAACCCACGCCCTATAAAGACAAAGACTTAAACTGGCGTTTAAGACCACTGGGTTAACATGCTGCTTTGATTTAAAATTGTTGATAAATTAAAATTATTCTTGGAAATCCAAAAATATTTATTATGATTTTTTCTACAAAAAATTATAAAAAATTCATAATAATTAAAATGAAGTGAATTAAATTCTAATGTTTTTTTGGAAAATTCACATATATATATATGTGAACATGATGATGGTATATAGAGAGGAATTTATTTCAGTTATTGTTATAAAAGAAGTAAGGAATTCATTAATAATGAATTTTTAATGAAATAAATTCCAAACAAATTCTCAAAAATATTTTATGCAATGCTCAGTGTGCTAGGGTACATAAATGAATTTTTGACAATTTTAAAATTTATATGTATGAATATATGTTATTTATGAAGCATTATATTTTGTTTATGCGTATCTTCTTGATTGGTTCATAAATATTTAACAGGCATTGTGACATAAAATTAAATGATATAATTTTTAAAATTGAGTTATTAAAATCAAACATTTGAATATGGATGATGGTGGAGAATGAGCATTTGAAGAGGTATGCCTTGTGATTTGTCAACAAAAGGTGACAGGTCTTTGTTGTTTCTGCTTGTATTGGACTTACATCTTCGGAGTTTACTGACGAAACAAATGAAACTGTCTGCAAAATTATTTTTTTCTTATTGCGATGTTTTGACTTATATGCTTGCCACATTTTCCTGATTATCCACCACAACAAGAAGCAACCTAGGATGTTACGAATATGGAATAATGCCAGCTAGGAATTCTAAATCATGTACGCAGTGAAGTAGACGATGAAGAGTTGTAGCAGGAGAGGCCCCATTAGATACCTTATTTAGACCACTATTATTGTCTTAAGATCTCGTGATCAAATATATACTCCTTTCTGTTCGTATCCTGGATTATACTACTATAAAATGTGCCAAACTTCAAAAGGTTGTTGGAGCTAAAAAACATATCACAGGAAGATGGCCAACAGATTAGCCTTCGTAATTACTTTGACCCTTTTCTGTGGCTTGGCAGTTAGCAGTAGAACAAAGGTGTTTTCTGTCGAAAGTCAAGATGGTATGGCTGCTGCTTTGGCCCCATCAACTGGTGATGGCATTTGCGCATCAATGATTGAGCCACAAGATTATATCTGCGAAGAACATACGGTAACTGTTTGTATTATATACACTCTTGAAAATGTAGCATTCAATTGAAGTGATGATTTATAGTGTGTAAAATTCCCTCGGGTTTCAGGTGACAACAGAAGATGGCTATATTCTCAGCATGCAGAGAATCCCAGTAGGGCGGTCGGGCCGGACTTCGGGAAACAGACCCCCGGTTCTGTTGCAGCATGGACTACTAATGGTTAGTAATTCTGCTGGAGTAGTGTTGCTGGTATTAATTTTATATATGTATTATCATCTTGAATATAAGAAATCATGGTGTTAATTATGGCAGGATGGAATTACCTGGCTGCTGTTACCTCCAGATCAATCTTTAGCATTCCTCTTGGCTGATAATGGCTTTGATGTATGGATTGCTAACACTCGGGGAACCAAATATAGCCGTGGCCATGTGTCACTCAGTCCAGATGACTCGGTAACTTTTATTCCTCTTTCTCGCTATATATTTGGTTCTCCCTCTTGTCACTTATTCCGTGTATATGGTTCAATGGTTCAAATGTTTTCTAGGCCTACTGGGATTGGACTTGGGATGAACTGGTGGCATATGATCTTCCAGCTACATTTCAGTATGTGCATGATCAAGCAGGACGAAACCTGCACTATGTTGGACATTCGCTGGTGAGCTTTTTAATCCTCTATTAATGCTTCAAGCTGTTTTTATGATTCTGCTAACAACAATTTGCTCATACTAAGTTTTGAATTCTTTTGTAGGGAACTTTGATGGCTCTGGCTGCCTTTTCGAAGAGCCAGCTGGTGAGCACATTGAGATCAGCTGCCTTACTTTGCCCAATTGCTTATGTTGGTCAGATGACATCTCCACTTGCAAGAAATGCTGCCGACAATTTTCTTGCTGAGGTGAATGCTTAATTATTTGCTGGTCTATGTGAAACATCTAATTATATAATAGAATCCAAGTTCCTGATAATCTGCGCATTCATATCCTTGTTTAATAGGCCTTGCGCTGGTTGGGTCTCAGCGAATTTGATCCAAGAGGGTAATACTGCAAACTCTGCTCTCTTAACTTCCCTGAATCACTTGTAAACATAACGCATTAGAAAGTCTTCTACACCTCTGCTCTCTTCCATGCATTAGAATTAGAAAATTGCTATAATGCCTCCAAATTTCTGGAAACTGTTCGCATACATGTAATATTTTACATTCTAAATAGATCAGGGAAAAAAATATTAACATCTTCGCAGGTTCTCTCGTCCTTAAGTAAATGTTCTAATTATAAGATGAAGACTGGCATCGCTGAAGTATAGTTCAGGAAATAGTCATCATGCTGCTGCTTTACATTTAAACTTAAATAATGATAATATAATTCATTATGTTTTTGGTGCCAACAATATAATTTCAGTCTGGAATGATTTTCTATTTAGTCTTTATTTATTTATTGCTGCTGAACTCGAACCCTTTCCAAAATCAAACAGGGGAGCTGTAGTAAAATTGCTGAAGATCATCTGCGACAAACCAGGTGTTGATTGTACCCACTTGTTAACTTCTTTCACAGGTATTATACATAGTTCCTTATTTTGCTAATTAGCTAGCTTCAGGACTTGAAACAGTTGAATTTCTATTACCACCTTGATACCGTTTCCTATTTCTATTTTTACAGGTCAGAATTGCTGCCTGAATTCTTCCATAGTGGATATGTTTCTCAGCCATGAACCCCAGTCAACAGCAACAAAGAACATGATCCATATCTCTCAGAGTAAGTGCTACTAAGCTAGCTGGTCACTTTTTTTTCTTGAAAACAAGTTTGGAATTAATTTTAAGTTGTGGATAGTGATCAGAGAAGGAACCATAGCAATGTACGATTACGATGATGATGATAAGAACAGAGAACACTATGGGCAGAAAACTCCTCCAGTATACAATATGACAAGCATTCCAAATGACCTCCCTCTGTTTCTCAGCTATGGAGGAGCAGATGCTCTTTCTGATGTTAATGACGTGAAACTCTTGCTTGACAGCCTGAAAGATCATGATGGAGATAAACTTGTAAAGCAGTACAGAGTTGACTATGCTCATGCAGATTTTGTTATGTCTGCAAATGCTAAGGAGGATGTTTATGATCCTCTCATAGCCTTCTTTAAACTTCAATGAGGATTGATAGGGAGAAAAAGAATTAAAAAGGGAAATCGGTCAATTTGTCATTACATTACATTTTGGCGCGAGTCAGAAATTAATTTTGTTCAGTTTCAATACTCGGAATCCGTTTGGCATGTACTCCTTTTTCATTGATTAATTTGATGAGTTTATAAATTCTGGTTGGTTAAAAAAGAAGTGTAGCAGTTATCATTCTTATTGGAGAACAGTACCAATCGGATCCAAAACTCAAAAATCCAATTGCGTATTGCCTCGTACATGAATTGGTTTAATAGTTGCTGCAACAGATGCCAAACATCACCCCACCATTTATTTAGCAAAAGAAATTTAAAAAAAAAAAAAAAGCAAAACCGATTAGCCTAAGACCTTAATTAATAAGTACCTATAGGGTAGGCTATGTCAGTTTAATGGGAAATTACACTATAAATATATCAATTTTTAATTTTTTTTCAATCAAATATATAATTTTTTTTAGTACATTAATTTTTTCAAAATTATCAATCAAGTACTTTCGTTAATTTTTTTTATTAACCGATGACGTATCTATTATTCTAGAATACCAAATTATAATTTTACCTTTTTTTTCCTCAATAGAGTACATGAACTTTAATTTTTTTTAAGATTAAGTACATCAATTTTTTTAAAAAAATTATCAATCAAGTACTTTTGTCAATTTTTTCATTAATTAATGATGTATCTAAATACTAAATTATATTTTTTTCCCTCTTTTGTTGTAAAAGCTTTCTCTTTAAATTATTCTATTATTTTAAAATTTGATAAAGAATTTAAAAAAAAAGTTATTTTTAGTTATAAAATCTCAAACTAAACTTAGTAAGGTTTACTCGTTTAAAAAAATAAAATCATTTAGGTTTTGGATGTGAAAGTTGAAGGAAACACAAACGTGAGATTTTTCATCGGGAATATTCACTTGTGTTTTTATTCAATTTTCACTCTTAAACCTAATTGAGTTTTTTTTTTAATCAACAACCTAACTGAATTTAGTTTGAAATTTTATAGATAAAAAATTATTTGTCAAATTTTAAAATGATAAAATAATTTTTTTTAAAAAAGGTTTCATTCAACAAAAAGAGGATAAAATTATAATTTTGTATTCGAATATGTCATTAATTAACGAAAAAAATTGATGAAAATATTTGATTGATAACTTTAAAAAAACTAATATACTCAAACATAAAAAAATTAAAGCTCATATACTTAATAGAGAAAAATAGATAAAATTGTAATTTAGTATTTTGAGTATTTGGAGAATAACAAATACGTTATCAATTAATAACAAAATTGATAGAAATACTTATTTAATAATTTTGAAAAATTGATATATTCAAATAAAAAAATTAAACGTCATATACTCGATTAAAAAAAATATTAAAAGTTAGCACAATATAATTATCCCTCTCTTCAAGTATCGAGGATACAAGTGTACACATAAGAATTCGATTGCCTAGCTAGAGGGGAAGTCACTTTTTTTTTGGGCAATCAAGAGTAACATTTACCAAGCATTTTGAAATTGGCTCGAGAATTAACTCAATTTATCCCTGTATTTTGTATACAATTTCTATTATATTTCTTTCAATTTATTCCAGAATTTTGTATTTCCATTAATTTAAATTGAAAGATTTAACAAGATGGTAGATCAGAAATGCAGGAACTAGAAACTTGGTCTAAAATATATATAAGATATATATGTATAAATATTAATTGTACGAACATTAATTAATGACATATTAATTTGCCAATTTATTGGATGGGAAATTACTGACCATTTCTAGATTTGATAATTCCTCAAGAAAAATAATTATGCTTTTCAAATTAAGGAACAGCTCCATCTTGATCAAACTGATTGATTTTTCAGATTCATGATCAAAAAATTAAAACTTTGGTGTCATTGCTGTATATATAAAACCGGTGTGGTTTTTGAACTATGTAGGTTTTAGGGAAAAAACAAGAAACAGCCAGGCACATTAAGCTCTGGACAAATCATCCAGCTACTTGCAACCAACTGTCAAAGAGTCGGCTTGGCCTTCGGTCATGGAGGGCCCAGAAGCCCTGTGATTAAATTCTTGCGTGATATACTGCTGGCAGTCCCTGAGATTCTGTTGCCGCTCTATTTGCTTCCAGCAGGCCTCCCTTGTGTGCCTCGGGTTTTCTTCGTCTACGACCAACGTGGCCGTCCGGTAGATAGAGGCGTCGAGGAGGAGGAGGAGGGCAGTGAAGGTGGCTATTATAATGGTGAACTTAGCCATTTTTTATAGTACTATTAAGCTCAGTGGGTTGGAGTTACCGAGGTACTGTGGTGAGGGATGAAGGATATGTATAGGCAAATTTGGAGTTTTGCATGGTGAATACGTGTTGATTGATAAGGTTAAGTTTTGTTTTGGAAGCTGGTGAGCATGAAGTTACACGTGCCAATAAAGGGTTACACGTACTAGCCATTGGGGGATCCATGCAATGCAAAATGGGACAACGAACTAGCTAGCTAGCACTAGTCTTTTACAATTTTTTTTTTTTCTGGTTTCGAATTGGAGCCTTGTTTGAATCCTTATCATTTTAGGTGTGAAACGCGGAAGATGGAATAGGGTAGGTTTAAGCATTTCGATGGGGTGGCAATTGAACGCATGGTTTGATGGTTAGATTTGTGCTGCGCTTAATATAGCATATGGATCGTCAAGAAGTGCTAAGTTTGATGAAAGTTTCTTAATTTTTCCAACACGTTATGATGAAATACAAGTAACATAATCCAGGTTGGAAATCTTGTTTTTGATAGATAATAAGTTAAATATGGTGAAAAAGGTTTGGAAGTGTGGATACACGATCCGTGTCTATCATCTAACACGATCGTGTTACATCTAGTACATAGTGTCAATTTGGTCATAATAAATGCACGAATCATGTTTGTCATTTGAGAATATTGTGTTACATCAAACACAAAGTATCAATTTAGGTAGAATGGTTGCGCGACCCCGTGTCTATCATCTCGATATGGTTGTGTTACATCTCAAGCACAAGATGTCAATTTGGGTAAAATGGATGCACAACCTATGTTTGTCATCTAATACAGTCATGTTACAACTTATAATTTTTGTGATAGCTAGTATTTTAGTTTCAAACAAATATAATTCCGGGATTATGGTTGTTATAATTTAATCAAATTAATTTTCAATAGTCATGTTTGTTATGAAAGGGTTTCGATCCAACGATCAAGATTATTATGAAAGAGTTCTAGTAATCTATAAATAGAGAAATACCGCACATGACAAAATTGTGTTTTTCTCTCGAAATCCTTCTCTAAAAACTCTTCTCTCTCTAAAACTTTACAACTTATAGAGAAATTCTTTAGAAGGAATTTCAAAAGTGTTATCTATAATTCTTTGGGTGCAAAATTAAATCCTAATGGTGAATTGTCAAAATCCCTACAACATTATAGTATGAGCAATAATCACCTTAAGGACAAGTGTGAGAAGATTTACGCATGCAATTAAGCACTATAATCTTTTGTCTTCTCTTCTTCTTCAAATTCGCAATCATTATCATATCATATTTTTCCTTCAATCTTAAGGTGATTATAGTTAAAAAAATAAAAGCAAGGGCATAAAGTTTGTCTTTAAGTGATGGATTAAAATGTGATGAAACTGGATTGCTTTGATGGAATTAATGAATTTTAGTTGACGAAAGGACAAATTGATGTTCATGTTTATTGCAAAGAATGTTGCTTACGTGCTAGACTTAAATTTAGCAGATCTTCTAGAATCAAATGATGATGATTCCGAACAACTTAAGGCTGAAGGAGAGAAATGTGTTGATGATGAAGTGTCGTGCAGAGGCCACATTCTTAATACATTATTAGATCGATTATACGATCTCTTCACTAATGTTCGAGTCCCAAAAGAAATCGAAAAGTGTTAGAGTTCAAATACAATGCTAGAAAACAAGAGACATATAAGTTTCTCATTATGAAGATTTTAAATTTAAAATAATTGATAATTTATTTGTTATTAATCAAGTGCAAGACTTATCTATTATGATATCAAAACCGAAAGAGTTTAAAGTTCATATTTTTGAATCATTGCAAGTAGGGGCTATAATTATAAAATTACCCTCTCGGTTTAAATGATTATAGAAAACGGATACTTTGTACCACCGAATATCATATTTTGAAACAATTTGAAAAACATCTCGGGATCAAAGAGGATACTCGAAATTTATAAAAAAGAAATGTTTAAACAATTTTCAAAGTGAATTATATGGATGAAAAAATGTCAAATTCGAAAGAAAGAAAAAGAAATATTCTAGAGAGAGCATTTCGGAGGAAATAAATAGAAAATTATAAGAATTTTTAGGCTTCAATGTAATGAAAAACAAGACCAATAAATCTTGTTATCATTGCAAAAAGAAATGCCACTTCAAGTATGATTATCGATACATGAAGAATTTTGTATCCGTAAATACGTTATGTAAGAAGAAAATTAAGGTTGTTTTGGAGTCCGACAAAGTTATATTCTCTAAGAATGGTGCAATTATTGGTAAAAGGTATTTATAATGGTATGTTAAAACTAAGTATTATTAATAAAATGAATGATTTTGCTTATATTATTAGCTTTTCTTCTTTTCATTTATGGCATGGTAGATTAGCACATGTTAATTTTGATTATTGTAAACATATGTCAAAGGTGAAAAGAAAGCATTAGTTAAATTATTATATGATTTGAAACAAACACCAAAACCGTGGCATGAAAAGTTTGATTATGTCATATTGTCTCATAGATTTTAGCATAATAATGAAGATATGTGTATTTATGCTAAATTTACAATATATATATATGTGTGTGTGTGTGTGTGTGTGTGTGTGTGTGGTGTCATTATATGCTAATATGTTGATGATATGCTTATATTTAAGGAAAAAAATTGATGGGGTGAACAAGACAAAAAAATACTTGTCCTCACAATTTAAGATGAAAGATTTAAGAAGGTGGATACTATATTGGGAATCAAAATAAAGAAAAGTAGTGGGAGTTATGCTTTGTGTAAATACCATTATGTTGAGAAAATCATAAATAAATATCAATATTTGGACATTAAGGAGGTAAGCGCCTCTATACGAAGTTCACACAAATTAATAGAAAATTCTAAAATTAAGAGCAATTGCGCAAATTAAGTATGCTAGTGTAATTGGTAGCTTAATGTATGCCGTGTATTGCACTAGGCAAGATATTTCTTTGTAGTTTGTATGCTTTCAAGGTACACTATAAATCCTAGTGTTGATCATTGGAATTTTCGTAGTCCTTGGATATCTCAAAAGAACTTTGAGTTTGAGACTATCTTATAAGGGTTATTTATAATATCCCTACCCAAAATCCTCTTTAGATGCAAATATGTTGTAAGGATGTTTTGTTTAATTAATAAAGGAATATTTAGATAAAGGAAGGAATGAAAATTTATACTTGTATTAATAAAGGAATAACATACTCAATTCCAATAAGAAATAAGGATAAGAACAATATTACCGATAATTGATTACACCAATGACATGAATTTGGCCCTCAAAATCCCTTTGAACTAAAAAGAAGAAAACTAGTTGGACATGTTGATGAAGAATGAAGAAAAAAAAAAAAGTTCTCCTTCTTTTCTATCCAAAAAAAAAAAAATCTTGTTTAACCTAGCCACCACGAGACCTAATTATACCCTATTTTTAGGCAAATAAATGACTCAAAATCATAGTCCATAGTTTCTAAAATCATTCCTTAATTATAGACTTCTAAAATCACAAAGTTTCCCTAATAAAATAGGAAACAGAATCAATACAGACAACTTGTGAGCAAAATTAGAAAAAGCAAAAGACCTTGTTTGGACTTAATTTCTACATGAAAGTTTGAGCCCCGAATTTTATATTGACTTTAGACTTTTGAATCACCTAATTTGGCCTTAAGAAGCCCAAATTATGTTATGTTTAAGCTCAAGTGGTATGTCGGGAATTTTTAGCTTCCAGCTCTAACTTTACACCAATGTCTCAAGGATCAAGTGACCTTGGATTTCGACCAATCGGACTTTATGGAATCTTTGGGATGTCCTCTATAACTTTTCTAAAGACCACTTTTAATTCTAGACTCATCTTCCGTACCCGAAACCTAAATAAAGTCCAAAAGGTCATTTACTCAAAAGTGCTAAAAATTTCATTTTAAAGCATATTTTTCTAAAACTTCCCAACTAATTTCCTATTCATTAATTTGAACATAAATGAGCACGGTAGAACATTAAACATGATAAATAGACTAAGTAAATAGAGAATAAATGTATACAAATTATGCCTTTATCACATACATCTATGCACGATCCGACCTCATTATTTGTTTCTACATTTTCGAGGCAACACAAAATTATTTAGTTAATAATTTTTCTAAACATCTAACAAAATTTTTGTAGAATATTTCCTGTAAATTACACTTTTTTAATTAACGGATACTCCAAATGATCACACAAACTTTGAAAATAAATCAATCAACAATTAATTTATGCACACTAAGATCGGTAATCGTCTTCCATACTTCATCAAAATTAAATCTCAAACTCGTCCTCCTAACTTCATCGTAAAGCATTGGACCAACCTCATTTCTCCTCTATTTTTTAGGATTTCGACCCCTCGGGTTCAATACACTATGACGTATCTTGACAAACTTCAATAATTATATAAGAAATTATTAAAATAATTATTTTTAAATCTAACCTAATTAAGTTTAAAATAATAATAAATTAACAAGTGTTAATATAGATAAATTTAAAATTCAATCAATTAAACAAAATTAACCTAATTAATTAATTAAACATAAATCAAATTAACTTAATTAAATCTAATTCTAACCAAATTAAATTTAAAATAATAACGAATTAAAAATTTCTAATATAAATAAAATTAAAATTCAATCAATTAAACAAAATTAACCTAATTAATTAATTCATTATAAATAAAATAAAATTAATTAAGTTGAAAATAACAATTAATTACCAATTCTAATATAAATAAAATTAAATTCAACCAATTAAACGAAATTAACCTAATTAATTAATTAAACATAAATCAAGTTAAATTAGTTAAGTTTAAAACAATAATTGATTACCAAGTTCTAATATAAATAAAATTAAAATTCAACCAATTAAACAAAATTAAACCAATTAGTTAATTAAACATAAATCAAATTAACTTAATAATTCTAACTCCAATCAAATTAAATTTAAAATAAAAATTAATTAACAATTTCTAATATAAATAAAATTAAAGTTCCACCAATTAAAAAAAATTAACCTAATTAATTAACTGGACATAAATAAAATTAACTTAATTAATTAAAAATAAATTTTGATTAAATTTAAATAACAATTAATTAACAAATTTACCTAACAATTAAGAAAAAATAACAATTTTACAAATTAACCTAACAATGAATAAAAATTAACAATTTAACAAATAAATCAACAAAATAACAATTAAGTATATACAAAATTATAAATCAAGCAATTAAATTGAAAATTAATCTAACAATTACAAGAAATTACTAACTTTAATTAAGAAAATAAAAGAGAAAAAAACTTACCTAATTCGGGTAGAATTACACCAAGAGTAGGGAAGGAAAAACGAGGTTTTTTTTTAGAGAAACGAATTTGGAGTAGGTGTGGATTGATTGAGAGTGGATGAGTGGAGTTTAGTGGTGGTTTGGAAGAGGGGGAGACCATCGACTGGTTGGAGAAGGAGAGGAAGAAGAAAATGGGGGAGGAGGAAGAAGAAAGAGTTTAATTAGGGTTTGGAAAATAGCAACGGATGCGATCCTTTCGTTGATCTATCACTAATCGATGGATCGACACTTGCATCCATTGCTAATCCGTCAAAAAATGGTGGTTTACCGATTAAAGTTGGCCGTCCATTTTTTACATATAGTGAAAGACATAACTCGTCCATCGGTAATTTAACGATTTTCACTTTCAAAAAATCCACCAAAGTTTTCACTTTTAGCGACAAAATTTTCTATCACTAATTTATGAGGGATATTTCTTTTAGCGATGGATATTTCATCGCTAAATTCGTACATTGAAAATAACGACGAGATAAGAGATTCCGTCGCTATATTTCCTAACAAATCTATCGCTAAATCGTCTCTAAAACTCTAAGGAATATTTTTCCATCAAATGTAGCAACGAATTAGTGTCCGCATATCCATCGCTAAACATAGACATTGAAAATAGTGATGGATAAATGATTCTATCTCTATATTCCCTAACAAATCCATCATTAAATCGTCTCTAAAACTCTCGAGAATATTTTACCACCAAATTTAGCGATGAATTAGTTTCTATTGGTAACAAACTATCACTAATTCATCGCTATTTCATCACTAGTTGCAACATATGCTATTCTATCGCTATTTACTTGCTATTTAGTGATGAAGGTTTATTTGTCGTTATTTGATGATTTTTTTGTAGTGATATGATATTTTTCTCGTTAATGTTTCCAACCCTTGAGAAATTGAAATTTCTATTTCACCTTGAGAGATTTACTAATAATTATGACATCCTAGGTGGGAGAATCTGTTAGGCAAGCCAAAAAATTCAGATTTTCTCACCAAAAACTCACAACCTCAAAGAGAAAACAATGAACTTATTATTATTTTTTTATTTCAACATAAAAAATATTTTTAGATCAGTTTATACATTAATCAAGACTAAATTTTTTTTCCAGGTGATTTTAAAGATGCATATCTCACATTTATATGATGCATTGAAAAGAATTTAATAAATTTTCGATGCTCGACCTTAAGGTTTAAATTTTAAAAATAAAACAATAAAACGTAATAGGTTTTCAATTAATGTAATGCTAAGGAAAAAATTAACAAGATAAGTGTTTGAAATAAATATATCAAAATTTTTGGAGGATGAAAACAAAAATAGCCGGTAATTAATATTGAAGGAAAAATTATTAATTACTCTTGGTGTAGCTCTAACTTTTATAGCAGCGAAGGAACAATATACTGATAGTATCTAATTATCTTTTCAAAAGGTTGTCATGATGGTATACGAGGTGTGCGGTTGTGATTGGAATATAATCATGCCTTGGCGAGCATTTATGAAAGTTCTATTACCCTTTTCTTTCTTTCTATTTTAAAGAATGATTAGCCCTTTTAAATATACGTACATTGGTAATAAATAGCGGATAAAACCAAACGTCCAAGTCGGAAGTCCTTGCCTTGTCAGTCATAAATAGTATAATTAAAACATTAATTAAATTAATAATTGCTCCTAGTTTGTCTTAAACATTAGGTCTTAGCTTTCTCAGCGATTGTTTTTTCTGCCCTCCCTCTATGAATATTTCCATATTCAAAACCTGGTAAAGTAATGTTCACATTGGTGGCTACAAAGTGACAGACGCAAGGTTCGTAGCGACAACGTCATTGCTGGTCTTTAATTTGTCATCAGGCATCCTTGAAAATGTACGAGAACCTTTTTTTAAAAAAATTTTTACTATGAATTTTTGGTTTCGTTGAATTGAAATTTAATGTTTTGTGTTTTGTGTGTGTTTCTTTAATTATGATTTTATATTTTTAATATTTATTCTGATTCATTTTTTGTTGTGTATTGTAATTTTTCAGCAATTTAAAATATGTTTCTTTTTTTTTTCTTTGGTTTGTTGAATTTGAATTTAAATTTCTATGTTTTTGTGTTCTTTTTTACTTTATGGCAGATTTTATTTAAAAAATTTTCTGTTTTTGGCAGGATAACATTACGTTGATCTTATTGTCATACATATAACATGTATTGAATTATTATTATTATTATTATTATTTTATGTATTTGTTATCTTTTTTGTTCTTTTTAGTAAGAGACTATTATGTTTATCTTATCATTAATATAAACTTTAGAAAGCTTTGGATTATAATTTTATATGTTTTAGGTGAATTTAGAATTTTTTTTTATCAATAATTATTACTCGAGCGCCTCGATAGGTCTTCATATATGTATTTCACATTTTAACAGGGCTCCTTAATTATGAATCTTTAAAAAAACATTTCAAATTTATATAATCTCTTGTAACTCTTTTTTTTTTTTTTTTTTTAACAATACAATATTCGTTGTTTGACTTATATTTTTGCTGACGGAAAAATTATAGCCAATCAGCTTCTTCAAGATTTATCAAGAAACAAGGGACAGCTTAACAAGGTTCAAAAGGATTTTTGTGTCAAACCGTAAATTATTTTTTCATCTCTTATTCACATGGTTTCTTTTTAATCTATACAGATACAATGAAAGATTTTAGGAAGGGATATACAATGCTTACTAAGCTCACGGTTATCCCTTGAACCAAGGGATCTCTGCAGCTGTAATTCCTATAATCATGTAATTCTAGCTAACTACTCACACCAACATTTCAAATGCTTTCTAATAAAATTTTACTTGCATTTATCTTATTAAAGTTTAAGTTTATACACCGAAATGTTTTACAACTTACAATTAATTAAATTTTATAGTTTTATTCTAGTTTTATTTTGATATGTTACTTGAATATTTTCTTTTCTACAACTTAATTACATTCTAAATTTATTGATTTTATCTCAAAGAAAATTAAAAAAATTCATATGAATAATAAATGAGAAAGAGATTAGGTTATATAATCCACATCCTATATATCCCATCCGAACTTATCACACTTATTAATTAAAAAGTATCCATCCTAGTCAATGGCTAATTAATTTCAATGCGAATTGCTTTCCATTTGTTATAATATATAGTAAAATAAGATAAGATACTGAACAAGTTCACACTGAAGGGTTAAGGATCGAGTAAGAACTTTATCTTTATGTTATAACTTGCGATATACCGTCTCTGTTTGTATGTGGATTTTGGATGCACTATAAAATGCAGGAAAATAGAAAGTATAGTTGTTGTAGTAAGTAGCACTTCCTATTTAATTTTAAATGGACAAGGCTTTAGCCTCTCAAATTCTAGCCATCCTTTCCTGTTTATTAGCAACTGCAGCAGCAGCAAGAACAAAGTTGTATGCAATCAATAGTCAGGATGGCTCATCTGTGGCATCCCTTAATGCTAATGATGGTATTTGCAAATCAGTGGTGGAGCCACAAGGCTATGCCTGCCAAGAACACAAGGTACTGGAAGCTACTTTTTGCTACTAGTTTTTCAGCTTCAATAACGGACTCAAGAGTCATTTGAATTTGGAAAAATGAGCGTAGTTTTTAAACTCTGAAAGGATTATTGCAGGTAACAACAAAAGATGGTTATATTCTTAGCATTCAGAGAATGCCTGCTAGGCAGTCCGGTAAGGCAGAAGCAGACAAGCCGCCAGTTCTGCTACAACATGGGCTAATGATGGTACGTATAGTAGCTAGCCAGTTCTTCATTTATCTTTACGTTTATGGCTGCAATTTAAAATCAACACGAAAAGTAACATTTATGGATCGATGGCAGGATGGCGTAACCTGGTTGATGAATTCTCCTGGCGAATCTTTAGCGTTCATATTGGCGGATAATGGTTATGATGTGTGGATTGGCAACAGTCGTGGGACTAAATTTAGCAGGGGCCATACCTCACTCAGTCCCAATGATTCGGTGCTTTTCTTTGTTTTAACGTTGAATCTTTATATTTTCCATCATCATGTGACCTTGAATCTTTCTCAACAACTGAACTTTTTATCTTGTTTCATGGCAGGTTTATTGGGACTGGACCTGGGATGAATTAGTTGCTTACGACCTTCCTGCTACGTTTCAGTATGTGCATGACCAGACAGGGCAGAACCTTCACTACGTTGGGCATTCCCTGGTGAATATCTGCACTGTGCTGCTTTGACGACATTAATATTTATCGTTGTAGGATTTTGTTCTGCAAACATATAGCTGAGGCTAAGACAAACTTTTTGGCTTCATTGCAGGGAACTTTGATTGCTTTTGCTGCATTTTCACAAGAGAAGTTATTGAACATGATAAGATCAGCTGTTTTGCTCAGTCCAATAGCTTACCTTAACCAGATGCCATCGCCGCTTGCAAGGGGTGCTGTTGATTTATTTTTAGCTGAGGTAAAACCAAATTAAGGGATCTGCCTGGTTCAAAAAGTGAAATTCCAAATTTAAATTAAAAAGAAATAAATTTCCTAACTTCTTCACTTAGCATTCTGTTTCTCTTTATTTCACAGGACTTGTACTGGTTAGGCCTCCATGAATTTAACCCCCAAGGGTGAGAAAGCAATTTTTTTTTTTTTTTTTTCCGTTTCAGATCTCCAAGTTAATCAATGACTAAAACTTACCTCTAAACAATATTTCTTTCAATGTTTACTCGAGAGGTCCAAGATAAAATTCGAAGAATGAAATTAGTAACCATTATGAATTCTTAGTGAACAGGCAGGCTGCTAACAAGCTTCTGGAAGATATCTGCAGTAAGCCTGGGATGAACTGCTCCAACTTGATGTCATCTTTCACTGGTATTTAGGCTTGCTCATTAAAATCAGAACACATATAAGTTAATTAGTTATCCAATACTGATTGACCAATCAACATGTTTTAGGCCCGAATTGCTGCCTGAATTCTTCTAGGACAAATTGGTTTCTTGATCATGAGCCTCAAGCAACAGCAACCAAGAACATGATCCACCTGGCACAGAGTAAGTGTTTCTAAATTCCTGATTGAATAACTCTTTTATAAGAAAAACAAAATCAAGAATAACCTCTGAACAACAAAACCACCCAATGATTCTCCATACAATTAGGAAATTATCTCAAACATTCTTTTTCACGAATGGAAATGGAATAACTTAAGCAAAACCAAAACAGAAAAATGTTGAACTGTATAAGGTTGGTTTGTTCATTACATTCAGATAATTATGTGGTCATTTGTAGTGGTTAGGACCGGAACGATAGCAATGTATGATTATGGAAATGAAAATGACAACATGGACCACTACGAGCAGCCTACCCCTCCAGTGTATAACATGGCAAGCATTCCAAAAGACCTTCCTCTTTTCCTTGGCTATGGAGGGAAGGACTATCTCTCTGATGTGAAGGATGTACAAGTTCTAGTCGACAAACTCAAAGATCATGATGGAGACAAGTTGGTGGTACAATACACAGATGAATATGCTCATGCAGATTTTGTTTTCGGTGTGAATGCCAATCAACTTGTCTATGATCCTTTAATGGCCTTCTTCAAGATCAACTGATCAGTCTGAGAACTCTGTTTGTGAGCAATAGAAGGATCTGCCTATCACTGTTTTTCCATGTAGCGAGGCCTAGCTACATTATACATATATATTTACTGCAATTCAATGTCATGTGCTAAAATAGTTTTGATTTCCATGATTAACATCGTTGCACTCTTCAATCTAGTATGCTTTTGGCTACATCCACAAATCAAAAGCCTATACAGACAAGTTAATTTGCTTGAGAATCTATTAACCGAACACAATGTGTCAAATTCAAGCAGCAAGAATAAGATTGAACCACAGGGCTAGTTATCGGTAGGTTAAGCATGCTTTATATGCCAGTACGAACGAACACATGTTTGTCTCAAGGAAGGCCAATATTAGATACTTTGCTACACAGAAGTATTTGAGCCCACGATTAGCAACAGCGAGCGGTGATATCAAATCACGCCATTGAGTAAAAAAATGATGTTAGGACAAGCTCTTGAATCGTGTAATTTTGCGGTCAATTGACAGGATACCAGATGCATAGTATGCATTTTACATGTGATCGAGCAAGAAGAGCAGTACTACCTTAAATGAGCACTGGTTATAACAGTTCTGATAATTTCCTCTTTAACATCCAACAAGAAGAAATAGATTACACCTAGAGTATCAAATATAGATGTTTGGCCTAAGAGTGAAGTGATTCTGGGCAGCGATATGAGCTGCCATAAATGGATCGTGATCGTAGCTATGATCATTTCTTCTATGACCCTTTTGTGCTCCTCCTGATGTCAAGAATAGCTCCTCACAGGTAACACCAATATGAGGAGAAGGCACTGAATAATTTACTACGTGATAGTTACTGCCTGGTCCTCTATTAAGAAACTTGAAAATTTTCTTCAACTTTCTAGCACATTCGGTGAGCTTCTCCCTTATTCTCATAGGCTTCTGAGCTGATATGCTTCCCATCTTCTCTTTCTCATATGCACATATACATATACATATTCTGTTTTGCTTAAGCAGTAGTATATGTATTTATAGAAGAATAGGAGCGAAGAAAGAAGGTGGCAGACACGATCACATGAATAATGTGCAAGTATATAGTTAAAGTGCGGCGTGCTTATTTCATGAAGCTTTGCTTTGCTTAACTTCATTTGTATTTAGGTGATTAAATAAGGTAGGATATATCCCTTTCATCATCACCATTGTCTTTTTCTTGCTTTTAGAAACCTAATTTGTTACAGAGAGAGAGAGAGTTGTTTCGGTTACGAAGTATCATCCACATATGTTTATATCAACAGAGAGAGCAGAAACTGAAGTTTGAAAATTTGGATGTATATATACATAATCTAGATGAATCAATCTCCACTTTTTTTTTTCTCTTTTTTAACTCGTACATCCAACACACATATTCAAATTTCCTAACAAAATTATTAAAAATTAAACTCGTGATTTTTTTTTTAAAAAAAAACTACTACTCATAAATCCTCAAATCTTCTCTTCACTGAGCCTCGATCGGCGCGGGGGGGGGGGGGGGGGTGGCGGGAATGGATGGATCCTAACCTATGGTCCAATAAATAGATGACAAAAAAATGTATGGGATGGTCAAAGCAAAAACTAGACAATCATCTTCAGATATTCTTCAAACATATATATGCAATAATAGTCTTCAAATTAACCACATTAATTTTGTCAAGGATTTTAATCACAATTTTTTTGTTAAAAAATTGTAGGAAGGAATGGTAACGCCCTTGCGGTTCCCATTAAATAAAACTTAAAAAGGATTGATGGAAATATGGAATTATAAAACAAAGAACAAAATTTTTCCTTAGAAACTTGTAGAGAAGGGATACTATTTTTTCTGAACTTTTTTTCTCTCTCTCTCTTGTTAGATAAATTTTATTTATCTACTATGTACCAGATAAATTGATTGGTCAGGCCAAGCATATTTTTTCCCCCTAAAAAACAAAAATTTAGAAAATATATATAGAGAGAGAGAGAGAGATAGCTTTTACACGTGTAGGCATTTGAGATGAGGAGTAGGGAAATTCCATGATCCCTGTTCCCAAATCAAAGAAGGTCAGTGTTATAGAGTAAGAAGGCGTACGTGTCAATCTGCTATTGGCAAACACACGTAACAGGTCTGGAGCGAGGGGTTTTTCTTCTCTCTGCCCAGGAGCAATAGGCTTGCGAAACAGAAAGGGGAAATTAAGAAAAAACAAGAGAGAGAGAATGAGAAAGCAATCAGTAGGATCAGCATTGCTATTAGCTCTTTCAATCCTCTTCTTCCATTCTAATCTCTGTTATGCACTCTATGGACCTTCATCTCCTGTTCTCCAATTAAATCCTTCCAACTTCAAGTCTAAGGTAACTTTGTAGCTCTCTTTTGTTTGGTTTCCGAGAAAGACCTTATTTGTTGTTTATAAATATTCATAATTTGATTGCAGTAATGCTTCGTTGGGTAGTAATAATGCAGCGAAAGGAATTATTTTTTTAATTTTTTTTAATTTTTTTTCTTATATATATTTTTCATTTTGGTGTTTGGTAACTGCCAATTTATTTGAAATTTGTTCGGATATTTTAGATCTGGCATGTAACTATAGAATTCCCTTTTTTAGTTATTTATTTCAGAAATGATTTTTTTTAATTATTATTAGAAAATGGTTTGTGTTTTAACCATGATAATTTTGCAGGTGCTGAACTCAAATGGAGTGGTTCTGGTAGAGTTCTTTGCACCATGGTGCGGACATTGTAAAGCTCTCACCCCCACATGGGAGAAGACAGCTACTGTTTTGAAAGGTGTTGCAACTGTGGCAGCTCTTGATGCTGATGCTCACCAGTCTCTTGCTCAGGTTTTCTTTCTATACTACTACTTACTTGCAGCACTTAGAATTCGTTGTTACAAAATCTATTCTTCTGATTTGGGAGTGGGTTGTGTGTGATTTCTACAAACATTACTTGTAGTGGTCTTGGGTTTTGGGATCTAAGAAGAATTTTTGGCATGTTATCAGAGTTGAATGTACAGTGTAACTTTGACAGTATTTTTTTTTCTCCTCCAGCTGTATCAAGGTCTCAGTAAGATTATATAGCAAAATTTTCTATAATATGCCTTTCTGTTGAAAGGCAGATGAAAATTTTCAGTTTATTTTACTTTAGAGGCAATGACATTCATTTTTTTCTCCTAGGAATTCTCACTAAATTTTTTTTCTAGACAAATATCATTTCTTTCCCAGAAAAAAAAAACTTCAAATAGAAATATTGTCACTTGGTCTGCTGAGGTACTATTTTTCTTGTAATATAAACCACCTAAATCTTGTACAGAGATGAATCCTAGCTGAGTGATCCAAATTTCCGGTTTTCGTATTTCACATATGCTGTCATCATGTTTGTTGAACCAAAACTGTTTGATTGCTATGCAGGAATATGGGATTAGGGGTTTTCCGACAATTAAAGTGTTTGTACCTGGGAAGCCTCCAGTAGATTATCAAGGGGCTAGGGATGTGAAACCCATTGCAGAATTTGCTATTAAGCAGGTTTGTTCTGTTTGAAAAATATCTGAAGTTGTCCCCCTTTACAGTCTTTTGGTCTAACAATGTTATTCTTGTACAGATAAAGACACTTTTAAAGGATCGTTTGAATGGAAAGTCAGCTGGAGGATCAAGTGAGAAATCTGAATCTACTCCATCTGTAGAGTTGAATTCCCACAATTTTGATGAGTTGGTGCTCAAAAGTAAAGAACTGTGGATTGTCGAGTTTTTTGCACCATGGTATGCGTCCTTTGTGCCTGAAGTGATCTTCTGTGGTTAATCTATACTTGCTAATGATTAGGGGCTATATTTTGCTGCAGCACTTGATGAACTGCAATGGCAGCAATCATGTGTTACAAATACCATCCTTTTCAAAACACAGAAGTGGCATGCATGTATGCATGAGATACTGATGTTTTTTAGGTTATGCTACTGGTGAAGAAGTATATCTACGTGTATTGGATGAAAATTAACTATATTTCCTTATTGCTGTGTGAAAATTTCATTATTTAGTGATCACAGAATGGCATTTTGGATGTGATATTTAATGAAGTGAGGCGTACAGCCCATATTCCTAACAAATAAGTTCAAAACTTATTTGGTTGCTTGACTGCTGTAAGTTGAATTGTGAAAAGTAGGTTTAACCATTAAGCATCATGCTGCTCTACTCTGTATTAGCTATTTTTCCTGTACATAAATTTGGTGACCAAATGTATCCATGCTGTACTCTTCAAGGTGTGGTCACTGTAAGAAACTGGCTCCTGAGTGGAAGAAGGCTGCGAATAACTTGCAAGGGAAGGTGAAGCTGGGTCATGTTGACTGTGATTCTGAGAAGGTAACATTGAGCTTCAAATAATTTTTTTCGTAAATAAATCTTGCTTGGATCTGCAGTTCCACATAATATATGTACTGACACTTGCCAGCAAAATATTTTTAGCTATCTTTTTTTCCCCTTGAAACAGCATAGAATGTTTGGATTGGTAGGGTATGGTTTCTGAGAAACTGTAATGTGGTGCTAGGTAAATGTTGTAAGTATTCAGGCAGTAGAGATTTACAACTAAACGTTCTGGCAATATATGTATCTATTTGTACTTGATAGAATGCAAAGTTATATATGTTTACTGTCCCACTATGACCACAAAACTCAGACAATCTATACATCATTCATTAGAGAACTGTGGTCCTCCTCTTGTTAGTTCCGTATTGTTTAAGATTAAGCAGTTCTTTTCATAGTTATCTAGTGATAAGATCGAACGTGACATTGAAATCTCATTATTAAATTTTCAAATAATTTTGCTAAATGATATGGTATTAATGGGGTGGGGTTATCAGTCTCTGATGAGCAGGTTCAATGTACAAGGATTCCCAACCATCTTGGTATTTGGTGCTGATAAAGATACTCCTATTCCTTATGAGGGCGCTAGAACTGCCTCAGCCATTGAATCATTTGCTTTGGAGCAGCTGGAAACAAATGTTGCACCACCTGAAGTAACTGAGCTGACTGCCCCAGTAAGCCTTTGACATCCCTAACTTGATCTTGATTTCAGTGGGACTTTTTATCACTGGAGCATTATATAAAACTGTAATTGTTTGATGCATAGGATGTAATGGAAGAGAAGTGCGGTTCAGCAGCTATCTGTTTTGTTGCTTTCTTGCCCGACATATTGGACTCTAAGGCTGAAGGAAGGAACAAGTACCTTGAGCAGTTGTTATCTGTTGCCGAGAAGTTTAAAAGGAGTCCTTACAGGTAAGTTGCTGATGAGTCAGTTTCTACTTCTCTCTGTGTGCTTGTTTGTGTGTTTTGATTATAACTCTTTCTTGAATTTGTGAGGGTTTGTACACCTCAGGAGCCATCATGTTTATGGAACCCAAACATGTTGAAACTTTTTGCTGATTAACATTTCATGTCTGCAGCTTTGTCTGGGCAGCTGCAGGCAAGCAGCCAGATCTTGAAAATCGGGTAGGTGTTGGTGGATATGGGTATCCAGCACTAGTAGCCTTGAATGTGAAGAAAGGAGCATATGCCCCACTTAAAAGTGCATTTGAACTTGAGCATCTTGTGTAAGTGTACTATTTTTAACTCATCTAGGCAACCTTGTCATCAATGAATGAAATTTTAAACACTAGCAATTTGCTTTTGCAGAGAGTTCGTCAAGGAAGCTGGGCGTGGTGGAAAGGGAAATTTACCTTTGAATGGCACCCCAGAAATAGTTAAGACTGAACCATGGGATGGCAAAGATGGAGAGATCATCGAAGAGGATGAGTTTTCCCTTGACGAATTAATGGGAGAAGATGCTGGAACCAAGGATGAATTATAACCAATTTGAAGCATGCTTAACGAGGAGAACAAAACGTCAGCCCGAATACGATTTTGATGTAGTAATGCGTCTGTCAGTCTGCTAAAATGTCACTGTATTTAATGCCTTCGGCTATGGTGAGAGGGTTTCCGTTTTAGGATGTTTGTCGAAAACGTCAAATCTCAAGTACTACCTTGAAAGAGCTTGTTACTGAGGAACCGCTATTGATCACAATGAATCAGTTTAAACTTTCCATGTACACTAAAGCTTATTTAAACATGTTATTTCTGAGCATAGCTAGGTGATTCACCCCCACACCCCTATTGCTATGATGCATTTTGTATGATGAGAACGTCTGAGATTGTATTCCTGCCACGGAAAGCAGTTTCTGCTCCTCTATGGTGTTGCTATTTAATCCTTTAATCAGAAGCTGGCAGAATTTAGTCACCATGCCACTGTCAATCTCTTGATCCTCCAGCGAGACGGGCACTGGCATTTTGTTTCACTACGGTGGAAAGTTTGAGAAAAAACAACTCTGGAGAAGTCACTTCCAGGTATAAGATAGAAGGTCACAGAGCTTTCCCCATAAGGAATAGGAAGGACAGGAATGACTTCGGCGAAGCTTTATCACATTATCCAATCAACCGGTTAACGTGAGCAAGTACAGGTTCAATTGCTAAAGTGAGCCGACATAAGACCAAAGTTACTTGAAATCGGATTCAATCACCATCAAATGGAAAAAGAGGGGAGGAGAACAGGTGCATCCATTGCAGCAGCCAAAGAAAAAGCAAGTGAGTAAATTATTATTTAGTCCCCCTTTTTTTGGCAAAATAAAAAAAAAGCAACATATTTTATGTTCACCACATCGGTTTATACCTTAATCTCAGGAGTAGCTACTCTAGTCAATTTCTGAAAATCTAACAAAACTTTTCCCGAATGAACAGTTATAGACGATTAAGAGGTCAAGCGACCAAGTTACGTTTATAAAACCAGTGAGTAATTTATTATAACACTACAAAAAACACAGCCTGAATCCTTATTTACTCGGAAATAAAATCAACCACTCTAGCTCTAGCATCTTTTAGGCAGCAAAGCATCATCCAATGCATTACAACCTTGATTTATCTTCAGCTACTCAAGCAAATTTTGCTGGAAAGTGCCTAAATACTAGCTGAGCTGCAACCCGAGCTTTTACCACCATCCCTCAACCTCGAAACACCAAACCTTAACTGGATATAAAGATTTAATTACCAATTCTTAACCGAACACATTATTTAGATGACTGCTAGTTCATAGCATTTACAGAGTCCGATGAGATATCTACAACAACTAGCTGCACAGCAAATGCACTTTCAGCTTAATAAAATGACACAAAACTATATCCAACCATTTGACTTTTGCCTCCCTCTTCCCAAGAAAAATAAGAAATGAATGTACAGGCATGTATTCTACAGAAAACACCTTGGATCTAGATTCTGTGTGATTTAAATTAGCAAAATCTGTGACAAAACTGTAAATCTAGCTCTTTTGGTTGGATTGGGGAAGCAATCAATGTTCGCAGGATTTAACTCCAAACGCCCAGCTTTACAAAAAGGTAACCATTGGAAATTTTTCGTTCTTTCTCCCCTTCCCCCTCTTCCATTACTGCGAGTGAGATGACAATTAAGTTAAATTGGTGGCTTACAAGCTAACGTTTTCTATCCTCCATAGGCATTCTTTTCTCAGAGAAGAATCTGCAAATATTGCTTTGATGAAATCCTTTACCTGCAAAAGTGAAGAGCTTCTAAGCACATTGATCAACATATAACAGATACCACCAGTAAAATACAGTTTAGAAGTTTCAACTAGTGAAATGCTTTTCCTCGCTTTACATGTACTGAAGCTGAAAGCAGAATTGGAAGAAATAAAAACTCCAGTTGTGTAATCTGAATTTGTAGATAACAAGAACTTTTTTCTAGGGCTAATGAAGTGTCTAGAGCCCTTTCAAAATCCATCTATTCTAGAAGCAAAGCTCCCCACCACACTTGCACTGGGCAATTAGTGGAACAAGTTCATGGGGCCGGGGGCATAAACAAGGTATTGCTTTATTGGCTTCTTCCTAGTGGGAAGAGTCGAACTCAAACTGCCATGGGACATGGGTGAGGTTAATTCAAGTAGGAGGGAACCACTGGATACAATTATTGGTATTACGAGAAACTACAACGAGCATCAGTTCAACTATCAAGTAACTAACTTCGTCCTTGTTCATCGAATCAAGCTTTACAAAAACAATTCCCACTCTTCGGAATAGGAAGAATTAAAAAAGGTAGTCATTGCCCACTGTGTAACCCAGCTATTTAATGTGTGAGAGAGAGAGTTTGCCCCAAAGACATACAAAGAGACGAAAAGGCCAAAAAGTAATTGCTTTCTCAGACATGCATATATACCTCTAGCATTGTAAAACCAATGCTGATGAGTTCCCCACTTTCCCAAGCTGCTGTAATGGATTTTAAAGGCATGTCCAGAAGTTCTGAAAATTGCAAAGAATGCTACAGATAAGGACAAACTCTGGTTGCAACTTGCAAGACAACCATTTGAAATCCATTGATTTCAAGCTTGATTGACAAACTAAAAACTTGCCTGCAACTTTATGGAATTTACATAATGATGGTATTAGATCATCTAAAGGACTTGTATGATACTCTTTTGGTTTCTCCTTTTGAATGACAGAAATCAGGGAGTCCAATAAAGATGATATGCTTTCCAGCATCAAATGGATCAGTCTTTGGAGCTGGAAACATATAAACAGATTAGATAACTAGTAAACAAATAACTATTCAGAAGCAACACGAACTGGAAATTCATAGTAAATAAACATACCTGCAATGTTTCCTCAGCTGCAATATCATCTAGGAGGAGTATGTCTTTTGTGATTCTATAAAAAACTGACTCTAGGACCATACACAAGCTTTTCTTGTAAGTGGATGGCAGCAACAGCGGCTCCCAGATAATATGTACTTTTTCAAGAATAAAAACCACCTGGTGAAGAAACATTTAGCTCTGGTCATACAGTTACAAGGAAGTCAATAACAAAAGAAAGGATAAAAAGTGCAGTAATGAAATATATGAACCTGATCTATGCTAAATTTTGCTGATTCAAATTGCTGAATCTGATGAGTATTCTGAAAACCATCAGCACCATCTATGGCCTAAAAAACAGTATTTGACATGAGCTGTGAAGAACAGATTGTTCAAAAGGTCAAGGTGAAAAAATTCTGGCATTGTCAAAGAGATTGTCGCGTACATTTCAGTCACTATACCTCTTTCAGATTAGAAATAACAAGATGAATTTGTCTCTGCAGTATCTCCTCTGCCATTACTTGAAATCGCGGTGCCAAGTCAACAAAAACAGCATGTTCCTTGATGGAAATTGGAAAGTCTGAGCGGTACTGAAACGTCATTCAAACATATGCAAAAAGTTATTTTTCTATTCCACTTTAAAAATAAAGATTATGTTACTCTTTGCTAAATAAATCTCCTTGCTGAAAAATAGAGCTGAACATCACATAAAGAACCTAAGAGAAAAAAATAATGAAAAGCAGACTATCACAAAAGTTGTGGATTCTTCATGTTCTAGATAACAGCAATACAATAGTGGATGAGAACGAGGGAGAAGATGAAAGAAAGACTAGCAAAAATAAGAATAAATTAGCAGAACTAAGTACATTGATACCTCGAATGCCAGTCCAAGGATCTCCTGAGATAGATAGAGACAGTCATTGTGCATGAGAACAGCAACCTGGTTGACTCCATCAAGCTGCCTTTCTAGCTTCATAAGTGAAATTTAATGTTACTAACATAATCATTGACATGAACATGCCATTAAAGACCTATATATTTTGTATCTAGTTATCATGAAGATGGCAGAATAAAGAAAGAGAGCCAGCAAGATTAGGTAGAATAAAACATACTGCCAGAATAATCCATCTGAAAGGAAAAACAAAAAATATGCTTACTTCACAATAAATTTAGGAAATCGAGCACATCATAGCTATTTCAAGGAGTGTTGAACCAAAGCTCCAATTACATTACATTAAAAAAGATGAAAGTAGCTTTGTTGACAGTTGCTGATTATAAACAGTCTTGAAACAAAGAGGAAGTTAAAAGGAAGAAAAACCTCCACATAATGAAAGCATAGCAAACATAAATCCCTAACAAGCTTAAACCCATGCTTTTATGAATGTAAGTTTCAGTGGTTTTTACATACGAATAAGCCATTTTATAATTTTTCAGTTAAATCTTTGAGTCAGCGCACTGCCGTCCATGCACTAACCTTGACAGGAACAACAGCCTCATAGAGAAGTATAGCATCCCTTGCAGCATGATAGAATTCCAACGCAACTCTAGGAGATGACAAGCAAATGTCCTGCACCAAATGGCTATTGATCATGAGCATATGAGTGCACTTTAGGTTTGTGAATTGAGAAGCCTTTCAGCTTAGGCTTTCAACACTCCAACAAAGAACATGCACGTGTTTAAGAAAGAACTCAGGAAAGCTAAATTTTCATGTCATGTATATGAGAGTTCATTTTTTTGTATTAGACCAATTACCTTAAGTGTCTGGTGTACTAGATCCATCAGTTGGGTAGCTGCTTTGGACACCAGACACCTCTCTGACAGAAAAAGCAAGTCAACGGCATGTTCGGAAAAATTTGCAGCAATCCCACCATTTTTCAGTGGATGACCTTTTCTTGCATATTCCTGCAGAAATTTTCATTATTCATAGTTTACAACATATCACATTACCTAGAGACATATGTATTCCAATCTTAGAAGCTCACTTGAGGAATAGCAAAGTCACACTGTAGAAGCAAATTTCTAGCTTTTGCCAAGATTTCTGTCTTCTTCCTAGAAGCAAAGTGAACCTCGACATTTTCAGCAAAGTTGCTCAACTTTTGGTCTGTGCTATCAGATGCAGAAATAAATGACATTTCCTTCAAAGCAATTTCTAACTCATGTGTGTCTTTAATTATCTTCTGAAAGCCAGCAAGTTTAGAAGCATCATCAGGGACAGCCTGAAACAAAAATCACACTTAATTTCATCCATGGGGCTTCTGACAAAGATAATTGCATAAATAAAGACAATAAATTATGAGAACATATTGCCATCCAGTATGTTAAGGATGCAATCATCCATGACCTTTGTAGGAATCATTAGGAATCAAGTGGATCACCATGGATTCATGACTAGATGTGATGGAGATATATTTTTCAACTGATAACCAATCTGATTGATATCTGATATGATGCTATTGAGGAACAAATTAATGTCTATATATTTTACTACTTTTACAATTCAGTTCACCACCAAAATCCTAACATCCAAACATAGGCTCTATTTTTATTTTGTTTTTGTTATACTAATCAATTGCACTAGCCCCTTGCCCTTCAAGATACTATTTGATTTAAGACAAAATTGAAAAGAATGAAATGCTTTATTGAAAAATACCAAATCTAAATTAAACATTTTGTAATTGTTCAAAGATAATACTTCATAATAAAAGCTTTTAATGGACACTAGATCAACATGAAGCAGATATTTCATAATAAAAAGAGGATAAATTAGTCAATACAATAATAAATACTGGATCCTTGGAGTCGTGGAATGTGAAATTGCAAAAAGAAAAGATGAATTGACATTGAAAATAAAATTACCTAAATATCTTAGTTATGATTTGTTTGACAATTACCATTGGATAACTATAAATTTAAATCATTTCACCATTTCATGTCAATTGACAATTGAGTGACCATATATAAGATACTGATTTTAATTGTTAAAACATATAAATACTGTTTACTTAAAGTAGTTTTTATAAAAATAATAATTGAAACAAATTGCATACCAATTATGACAAGTCATGTTATGAAAATTAAAATTGTGGTCAGTGTGTTATCTTTTCAGGCTTACCTACTTTTTTATCTTGGTTTGATTTTATTTTTCATTTTTATCAATTTAGGTTTTTAAATTTTTTTCTCCATTTTTTTTAATGACTTATTTTAAAATCTGGAGGATATTCCAAAGTTAAGGGTTAAATGAGACAAAGAGTACGGTATCGACAGACTTGAAGTATAGGGGTTGGAAAAAGAGAACTTTATTTTTTTTTACGAACGACTACTGGTAAAGAAAAACCAAAGTACAGGACCCCCCAAGCTCATTAGCCTGCCTTATTGAACTCGTTGCATATAAAGAGAATAAAAGGCATCATAAATTTGACCATGATCGAACATCCTCCTGAAGGAGATATACAAATCTCTCATCCCACATCACCTCATCAAATACAAGGTAGATTTTCAATCATCTCTCATCTATACATTTCAGTGTTTTGGTGTCTCCAGTCAATCCATAAAACCCACACTACTAATACAGTATGGCAAAGTTAATTGTTATGCCAACTTCAAACTTCATATAATCAAGTCAATGATTCACATGCCTCCATCAGGTCAAAAAGTTAGCACTGCTCACTGTTTCTCTTTTTTTTACAAAGAAAAAAATTCTTTATATGATAAGTTAGAACTTTCAACATTGTTACAAATGTGCACTTCCTCCATGTTACATTAGGTACAATGGTATATCCAACTAGTGTTAAAGCAGCCCCGGAATGGCATGCAACTGTTATTTGAAACTGATGGAGAATAATCCCACAATTCATATTCTAAATAAGCAGGCATCATGATCACGGATAATATTTACAAACACGTATCAGACATGCTCCAAATACTTGTTTGAAGCACAAATGTTTCAGTTAAATAAATAAACGCATACTCCTCAAACATTTAGAAAGAGCATGATCAATGTCACTGCATGTATCTTCAGATTCAATGGGAAAAATAATGAACATACAAGCATTAAAGAATTATCCGGACAAGAACAGAAAAAAATTGTAGCTAAAATACAAAGATTTCAGAAAAACAAACCTTGGAGATAAAGTTAGAAATAACAAGTTCTGATATCCTTGGCCATGTCAACCTTCCAAAGCATCTAATCCAAGAAGGATTTTCGAAGCATATACACTTGCAAACAAAGTTTATAACCTGAATAATCCCTGAATAGATGATCTCACCATCCATGTCGACCTTCTGATATTGGAGAAAAAGGAAATGTCAAAGCAATGATAAGCACCCTCCAGTAAAAATGAGTATGAGACCCTCATTAGATTGATCTATTGAGAGAAAATTTTTCTCTGTCTATATAACTGGTTAATGCTGTTTTTAAATGGAAAATATGAAGTTGCATAGTCTCAAAACAATGCCCTTTCAATATGCTAAAGCAAGCAATATTAGCAGGGCTTAGCAATCTGCATAATGTGCTTTACAATTACCATTCCCATTTTAGTAGAAACCAAGTGCAATAAGGCACTTTAAAAATATAGAAAATGTGATTGAACCATATTTACCTTTGGATTGCTTGTTGATACTATCTTCAACATTGCCTCAGTCATTTCTTTTGAGACATCTTTCGAATCTTCTGTGGATGAAATAGATGATCCTTGGTTTACAACAGGAATAATGACATACTTGATCATTTGGTCAGCTACTTTAGCAAACCCATAGTCTAATATCCCAATTACCTACGATAGGTCATAATAAATAAGTCAGTTTGACATTTAAAGGTTCAGATTCAATGCAGAGAGATCAAATTGCTTCAATATATAACACATCCACAAACAGAGGCAAAGCCAGGATTCCCAACTAGGGCGCAATAGTTGTTTTTTCTTCTCCTACTGGTAAGAATCCAGTACAATGAACAGTGTCAAATACATGTTAATGTGAATGGCAATTTGAGTTTTTAATAAAAAGGAATAGTTCCTAAGAAAAAGTAGCATTTCTTTTACAAGAGCTAAAGCATGCAATTGCCCCCTTTCCATATAAACTGGCCCCATCAATGCCCACAGAGATATTTTGCCGAGGCCAAAATACTATTTCAAATGAATATCGATCAAGCTTAGCAAAAGTCAGTGCAATAAAGGCTTAGACAGCAGAATTTTTCCATGCATTAAAAATGAAATAAATGGCTCTTAGAATTCATGAACTTCAGGCATGATTAAATTTAAATCATGTTTGAAAACTAATCAAAAATCATTTGCATACACACAAACACAAAAGATGAGATAATGGGTGCACTCACTTCCATTGCTTCCAAAACAGTGTGGAGATCCACAACCCCTGCAATGCCACCAACACTTAACCGATACTTGACTCGAACTATACTAGAATCTGGCTCGAACCGCACTGCATTTTCCGTGAATTTCACAAGCACCTCTTGAATCTACAAACCCAAATCCAATTCCTCTAAAAAACAATGACACACTCAATAAAAATCACCAATATATCAATCACAATCCACTAAAAAGTTAGATATGATAAAATCCCATTGGTTTGCTGAGAAAAAAGTGCAAAATCTCAGGTACACAAAATAGCAATTACAATTGCAAATCACCAAAAAAGTTCTTCTTCAATTATTGTGCCTATGCAATCTTAACACCTTATACTATATGAATCTAAATAACACAAAACCCAAGATATGAAATTTTAGAAAAGAAACAGCTAAGTCAATATTCAAAATGCTTCATATATATATGAGAGAGAGAGAGAGAGGGAGAGACATAACTGTCTCGCTGAAAACAACTGTGCACTCCTCGCAGTCCAAGAAAGAGTTTGGTTCATTTTCCGAAAATTTTTCAGCAACCAAACAGAGTTTTATATTTTCTCCAAAAGTAAATTAAAAAAAGATAAAAAGAAAACCATTACCTCCTCGAAGCAATCGAGCCACTCCTTCCTCAACAAACCATACACAACAGGCTCTCTCTCCTCCTCATCACCAATCCTCAACTCCTTCTTCAACTCCCTAATATCCTCAGCGGCAAATCTCAGCCGTCCATTATTCAATCCCTCTTTCACCCCTCCCAACCTCTCACTAATTCCCACAATAACCCTCACCAACTCCAATATTTCCCTCTTTAACCTCGCCTCCTTCATCTTCCCGCTCAAGTCATCGACAAGCTCCCTAATCTCACCATCGATAGGAGAATCGGAAAGCAAACCTAGAAGATCCAATAAGGTCTGATTAATCTGGTCGCTTCTCGAAACGGCGTCGTTGCAGAGTGAGAAGAGAGAGAAGAAGTCGTCGTGGTGAGCGACGATGTAGGATTTGACTTTTGATTTGATTTGGAGAGAGTGAGATTCGAGTCGGTTTATCAGGAGCCGGAGATCGGGTGCGGAGAGTGGTGCGGTTGGGTCCGTGAGATCACTCGTTGAAAGGAGGTCTCGAACGTTGATTGCGTCGAAGAGAGCGTCCATTCTGAAACGATCAGAAAATTTTTGCGACCGAAGGAAAGTTGATGGCAGGGGAGGACTGAGGAGAGGAATAACGTGCACTGGTATGGTGGTGCAGACATGAACGGTTATGGGCTTTTTATTGGTTGGGCGGAAGGGAAGATTTCAGGGCTTAAGAGTTTTGAAACTGAGTGGCCTAGCTGAAGACTATCTTACAGTTAATTACGCTCAACGTCCCTTCAGTATTGAATTTTGATTGGCTCGATTGATTAACGGTATCACGACAAATGTTTACATATTCAATTTGACTTGATTTTTTTTTTTTAAAGCCAAAAATGACTTGAAGAAATGAAGTTTTATCTTCGAAAATTTCAAATATTCAAAGAAAAGGAAAATATTAAAAACAAAGTTACCCATGTGAAATAGCATTCAAAAAATAAGAAATTTAGAAAAGTTAAAAATTATTAGTAAAGGGATTTATTGGATTTCTTTTACAATTTTAATATTTTTTACATTTTTCTGATTTCTCAAATATTTTAATTATTGAATTTCATTTTCAAGCATTTTTTGCTTTTAAAAATAATTTTAAAATATCAAAAAATGTAAAAATATCCAAACAAAACCCTCTAATGATAATTAAAAAATTATTTCTTATTTTTTTGCAAGTTAATTCATAAGGGTAAATTCTTATTTAATATTTTATTATCTTTTCCATATTTTCAAATTTTTTGAAAATGGAAAATTATTTTTTTTTCAAGTCATTGTTTGCCTTGAAAATTGAAAATCATGTCAAATTAAGTACACAATATTTGTCATGATAGCAATTAAATGTAATATATTTTAAAGAAATCATATTAATCATAGATGAGCTTAATTGTGATCGATTGGTAAAGGCTCTTGTATCTCCTTACAACCAGAGTAGGGGATGGAGAACATGGTTGTTTCGACTTAATTGTTCCAAAGAGCAAGAGCTAGGATAAAAGTAAGTTGGTTGAGCATCTTAATGAATGGGACAGAAGCGAGTTCTTTCCATCCCTCTAAGCCTAAGGGAAAAGAAGGATCAATGGTGTTGGTCGAGTGGACACAAAGGCATGTTCATGGTGAAAGTGCATACCACTCGCAAACAAGCCTAAGAAGTCAAAACGCCGACACAAAATGTGGATCATAAATGGAGGAAATTTTGATCGCTAAAAATTCCTTTCAAAGCCGTAAACATGATTTGGCGAGCAACTCGCGGGATGCTTACTTACCAAGGATAAATTACGGGATAGAAGGTTTGATGTTGATCCTTACTATCCAATGTGTGGGGTTAGGTTTGAATCAATAACCCACGGGTTAATTGAATGTCGTGTGGCTTGGAATGTTTAGTTACGATCATGTGTCGTTGTTGTTGGAGATCGGGTTTTTTCTTTTACAAATTGGTTGTCTATGATTTTTTCTAGGTGTAATACACAAGTAATGTGATCGAGTTGCCATGTTGTGTTAGGCAATATGGAGGAATAGAAATGAAGTGGTATGGAAGCGGAAGAGGATGACGGATAAGGCTATATTACGGAGGAGCAAGGTAGTCCTCGAGGATTGGTGTAATGCCCAAGCTAGGAAGATGTTACAAAAGAAGAAGTCGATAGGATGGTCATCTCACATCTCCGGATGGAAAAAACCATTGGTCGGTTGGGTCAAGGTAAATACGGATGCTACTCTGTTTGAAGAAGGAAATAAGTTCAAGTATCGGCTATGTAGTTAGGGATATAGAGGGGCGTATGGTGGCAGCAAGGTCATGTACCTTTGAGGGCTTAGTGGATCCAAAAATTGCCGAAGCTATGGGCACGAGGGAGGTCGTTAACTAGCCGAAGGATAGGCCGATTCCAAATGTTATGGTTGAGGCAAATGCACAAGTGGTGATCGAGGTCATTAATGGCCATGAGGAAGACGAGTCAAATTTTGGTATGTTAATTGATGATTGTTGTTCTCTTAAGGAGTGCTTTCCTAATGTGATTTTTTATTTTTTAAGAGATCGGCGAATCGGGTGGCTCATAAGCTAGCGAAGGCATCTTTTTCTTTGTCTAATCTAACGGAATGGGGTTATGTTCCTCCGTAGTTTTTGATGCAATGTTTAGCTATGGATTCTACTCGGTAATAAAACTATCCAAGTTCAAAAAAAAAAAAAAAAAAAAAAAAAAAAAACAGATGGGCTTAACTAACAAAATTTCGATAATAAAGGAACATCGTGTGTAATCAATTTGACTATCTTAAGAAGGCTATCAAAATATTATGAATGCAAAATAAATTCATTTGTTGATAAGATATTAGATATAGGTTTACAAATTTGGCTATTTCATCCGACTCGTTGAATTTATCCATCATGGTTGAATTGAATATTTTATTCCGTTTAATTAAAGTTATATAAGAAAGAAAGATTTATGATTTAGTTAAAACAAATAAGTATATGGTTCACTCTTCGACTCAATATTTTAAATATTTTTCTTGGATTAATAAAATTAAATTAATGTGAACCTAGGATGAGAAAAAAAAGTTGATTAATTAGAAATATGTGAAATTAGTGAGTTAATGTCATTCATTATCAAGGATGATAATGCAACCGGTTCCAATAGATAGCTTATCTAAATGAATATGCTTTTCTTTTCTTTTCTTTTCTTTTTTAATGAAAAACAATTTTGATTTGCGTATGCACAATAGCCCAAAGATTATTTTCGGATATGATTTGAATATAATTTTTGTGGTACATGAATCCCGATTTTAACCAAGACACATACATATATGCATGCATGTGTTTAATGATATTAGAAAATTACAATTATGCCAATAGATATGTTTTAAGAATACTTTTATATTTTTAAACTTATTTGATTGTTTTTTTAACGTTTATAATGCTTATATGTTCATTAACAACAAGGTTATCCAAATTTCTTAAAGTTATTTATTCAATTAGGTTTCTTTAAAAATAAAGTATATGTGTAATGATTATTCAAATAGGTTGCAACACCCATGACTTAACCGAGGTCAAGAAAGTTACTAGTAATACCTCATACTCGAAATGCAATGAGTGTGAGATATTAAGCCTCATGCTCCCATGTCTTTAATCGTAATTAAATTTATTTGAAAACATTTCGCAATGAAAGACTATTTAATCCAAAAATTAAAACTAATTCATTGAATTGAAATAAAACTTGTAACTAGGAATTATTCCATTTATTTTCAAAATATATTTATATAAAGCACATTAAATCGCCAAATTAAGTTTCATTTAAAATCAATATAGTTTTTGGATAGTCCTATTAATTATCAAATAACCATTTTAGACTTTATTAACTAATATACCATTTTATTTATTAAACCTCCCGTTTAATTAGACACCATGATTAACATTCCTTGAAATTAAGCTCATTGGAAGCCATTTCAATTATTATTTTGTTAATTCACTATACATCTTTTATTATTCTTATTATGAAAACCTATTTAATTCCAATATCATTTATGGTCATTGAAACCATTCTAACTCAATTCATTTCATTTAACCATTTCCATTAAGTTATTATGTCCAACCCTATACTAAATCATTAAAAACCATTTTATCACTTTAATTTATTTTATTTAAGCATTTAATTGAACTCGTCAATCCATTAACCTAATTTATAAACTTCTCATATCATTGATTTATTTATTAACATAACATATTAAGTAAACAAAAGTGTCAAAACATGAAACTCGGTAATTATCTACACCCGTAACTTTTAAAATATAGTTACAATACACACTCGGCAAGGTCCATTCTTTCCGGGATCATCATCAACTTCACACTAAGTCCTTACACGTCAATGATTCACTTACATCACAAGACAATTAGTGAGCTAACGCTCAATAAGTGTAATCATGCATGTAGAATGCACGAAATATATTTTTCATGATTTTGGAAAACATTTTCTATGATTGGATGCATACTATCGAATGTGTATATATTCGATCTTTCATGAAAACCATGACTCGTGAAAACCATGAAAAGCACTAGACATGTCCCTCGTGAAGCTTGTGATGCTCACAAAGAGTTGATCACTCTCCTTACAAGCCTATGATTGAACATGTCTACCCATAATTCTTTTCTTGAAAATCATGCACTTGTCTTTGTCTTTGACGAGCATGAAGCATGAACAAAATGTTTTCTTAACGTAAATGCAATCCAATAAATTTACACATAACCCATGATCTTAAATAAACCATGTAGGCGAATTCACCTACCAATGAAACACTTAAATACTCGCCTATGTAGCATTAAACAATAATATACTAATGACATCAAATAACATATCAAATGCATAATCAATCAATAAACATATAGATAGGAACATCACTAAATCATTCCAAGTAATGATAGCTAAATCTTTAACAATCAACTTCAAATGATTTCATAAACATCAAACTAAGTTTCATTAATATTGGACCTAAGCCAAATTCACCCAATATCATACCAACAATCAATCATCAAGGAACTAACAATCAATCATTAAGGAACCAATTATTTCTCACACATTGAGCTTGGCCAAATGATCATCAATGTGAATTCAAACATTAATTAGCCATATATTATTAAATAAAAACATAACAATCAATTATATAAACATATTACATGAACAAATTTTTAAAAACAACAAAATCATCATTAGGTCGAAACTATCAAGAAACAAACCAAAGAACAATACATGTATAAAAAACATTCAAATACCATATAAACACATCTTAAGTAATTGCATGACTTAAAACTAACATGATTATCCATACACATATGAAGATTACATCAATTCACACCAATTTCATATTTGGTCGAATGTTATCAACAATTCTCACTAAGATGCAACAATCTAATAACTTCATAAATTTAATATTTTTAAAACTTCTAAATCATGTTTTAATTTAATTTCATCTACTAATCATCAATTAACCTCATGATCAATCATTAATTTAACACAACATAACAATTAATCAATCATCAATCAAGCTCACAAGCATAC